TAGTGATTCTATAAAAAGAATCAAATATATATAAAACATACATTCCCTAAATTTAGTTGTTATATCTAGTCTGAAAGATTAGACCTTCGAATATCTAAATTTCTAGTCATGATATATACAAAATAATAACAATAAAGAAATGTCAACAAATGGGAGAGCGAAAATAAAAATTACAAGGCCTGAGCATGAAAGACTAAACACAAAAGAAGTTGATTAGGATACAGAGGTACTAGAATTTTATAGTGACACTGTATAATCTCTAAGAGTAGATTTGTTGGCCTAAGTCTTTGTAGGTTCACACATCCTTTTTAACTTTCCTGTTATCACTCAATCTTCTCTTTCACTTAATTCGAGAATGCTTATCTGACTTGTCAGCTACTTCCTGCTTTAATAAGCTTGAATGGGTAAGTCTACTGTACTATTCCACAGTCATTTTAAACACTGTTTGCTTTTGCATAAATTTCCAAATGATTACTATTTATTTATTAAGTAAGGATTTATATCCTGACTGCTTCCAAATGTATTTGAAGTAACTTATAAAATTTAATATAAGAACATTAAATGTAATGTGAAAATAGCATTGTCAAGGATAACAACAACAGACACTCTCCTGAGCGAGTTGAGTGAACGGATGAGCTAGTTTTGAAAATTGGGAATTGAGCCTGAATATAAGTTCCCTGGCAGCTAGGCTAAAGAGTGATGCATGTAACATAATTTTTAATGTCTGACTGAAAGAAAATAGACATCTTTCCATACAAAGACCTTTCAGGCACTGAACTAAAAAATTCATCATATGGATCTCTGTATGAGGGGCTTTGAAAATAAGTAGACAATGACTTCAACTACAATTTAGTAAAATCCACCAAAATACTGTGTAAATGGATGATTTAAAAATTGCTTCTATAAATAGCTATTAACAAAACTAGCAGTATTAGTAGAGTAGAAATATCAGCAGTGTAAATGTCAGAAGGGCTGATTCAAATCCTGTATACCTCAATCACCAGTTATGTAATTTTTGACAAGTCACTTAACTGTTCCCTTATCTATAAACCAAGGATAACAATATATGCCTTGCCTGACAACTGGATGGTTGAAGGATCAAATGACAGTATTGTGCATGAAAGCATTTAAATGCTATACTAGTGGAAGCTATTACTTACTATTATCATCACAAGTTAAAAATATGAAGACAGACACACTAGGTTTCACAAAAGTCATTGGTAGAACCTTGTCTATTGGCCCAACAATCCATTTTTCCACCTAATAGTCAGAACAATCTTCATAGTGATCCTTAAGTCACTCCCCTGCCTAAATTTTTCAAGTTCCCTAACATCTTCAGTATACAATTAAACCCAGGGCCAGCTTCTGGGGCTGAGACCTGTGTACTCACACAGAGGCCCAGGCTTAGAAGGGCCCCATGCTTGGGTTAATAGTCTTCTGCTGCCATCTTGAAATTCTTAATGATTTCTTAACAAGGGCCCCACATTTTCATTTTGCACTGGCCCCACAAATTATTTAGCCAGTCCTGATCAAACCTCTTGAGATGAGATCCAAAGTCCTTCAGAATGTGGTTCACACTTAACCTCTGCAGCTTTGCCTTCCCTGTTCTTTCTGAACCTATTCTAAGGCTCCATCATGCTGAATAACCTTCAGTTCCCCAAATGTCCTATGCTCTTTCAATCTCCTTTGACTCTGCTCATAGAGTCTCCTTGCCTTTCTCCCTTTGCATTATAATAAAATGAACGCAAAGCAAGTGGATCTGTTTTAAAATCTTCAAATGCGATCTTACTTCCAGAACCCTTTTGTACTTTGCAATGATGTTTGAGGCAGGTGGAGAAATACTAAGCTCTAATAAACCATGAATGGGATGGTATCTAAACATATATATATATTTAAAATTACTGCCAAGTAAAGAAAAATAAAAGTGGAAGGGATGAGATAAAGAATTGAACTGTTGTTTTTATTGTTTCTACCTCACATTGAGCACAGTGCATAGGAACTATAACCATGGTTTTCAGAGCTACAATTCTCAGATTCTGATTTAATTGGTCTGGGATGGTGCCCAAGCATCAGTATTTTTTAAAAGTTCCCTTCCCTAGGTGATTCTAATGTGTATCCAGGGTTGAGAACCACTGAGTTACAAGAACTTTAAAGAGCAATAAGTTAAATGAGATGTAGCAGCTCACTGGTGTTGAAGTATAAATAAGCCAACTAATTGCCAGAGCAGGACTGCTGAGAAAGCCTATTGTATGGACAATGTAAATGAAGACGTAAACAGACTACCATTTAAAGCAAATCAAATAGAAGAGATTAGAGGCATTACAGCATGTACTGTATTTGTGATTTATCTTGAATATTTCTGAGTCTCTGAACAGATTAAACAATGTTCATCTATGTAAAGCTAGCATGTCAACACCTGAGAAGATTATAGAGAAATTTTACATAATTATGGACATGTTATGTTTCAACATCAATTTAGAAAGAAAGATTTCTATATTCTTGCTGAATGCTCGGATTTCTCTCTCAACAATTCCATATTTGTCTGATAGAGTCCACAATTCTTTTAAGCAAAGAGTAATATGTTCACCTACAAAATAACCATGCAAGCAGCAACACCCTGGATAAAAAATTGGTAAGCTCTGAAGATATCTGGGAAGAATTCCTCAATATAAAAACATTAGTTAACCAAGAAGATTAAACAATAAAGTTGTTACAAGAGAAGGAATGCTGCTCACAATAACACTTAAAATGGAAGACCTGGAACAAATGACATGTTAAGTCCATGGAGGTGCTAAGTAATCAAGGACACATGAGGAGATTAACCAGTTACAACTGATTGGCTTACGAGTGTTACAGGAAAGTGCTCCTAGAGTGAAAGAGGTTAGTAAAAAGAGAAAGTGATGGTTTTACAGGGAAAGAGCATGGTGTAGTGGACAGAACACACGCTTTGAAGTTACATAGATCTGGGTTGGAGTCTGGTTTAGCCACTTACAGACTAGCAATGGAATCTTGGACAAATTGCTTCGACTCTATAATAATTTGTTTTCTTCACCTTAAAAAAGGATTAAATGGTTGCAGTGGATTGAACTGTATCTCCGTAAAGTTTAATGTATTAGAAACTTGACCCCCACTATGATAGTGTTGGGAGGGTGGGAAATCCTATTATGATGATTAAAAGGTGGAGCCTTGGAGAGGTGATTGGATTGTGGGAACTGTGCCCTGGTCAATGAATTGATCCATTCTTGGAATAATGGTAGTAGTTCTAGTGTCTTTAAAAGGAGAGTGAATGAGGAGGTTAGCTCTCTCTCTGCTCCACCATATTCTCCGTGTGATACCCTGAGTTGCTATAGTCAGTACCAGGACAAGGCCCTCACCAGATGTGCTCCCTGGACTTTGGACTTGCCAGCCTCCAAAACTGTAAGCAATAAATTTCATTTTCTTACAAATTACCCAATTCCAGGTAATTTGTTATAAGCAATAGAAATGGACTAATACAATGGTAAAACAATAATTGTTGAAGCTGAATGACAGGTACACAGGCGTTCATCATGTCATCTTCTCTACTTTTGTGTATGTTTATTATTTTCCATAATGAACAAATTGAAATAATTTGTATCTTGATGGATTAGGGTAAAGATTAGAAATACAGTAGTCCCCACTTATCTGTGGTTCTGCTTTCCATGGTTTCAGTTACCCAGGGTCAACTACAGTCTGAAAATATTAAATGGAAAACTGCATAAAGAAACAATTCATAAGTTTTAAATTGCATGCTGCTGTGAGTAGTGTGATGAGATCTTGCGCTGTCCCAGTACGTCCAACCCAGGACATGAATTATCCCTATGTCCGATGTATCTGTGCTGTGTGTGCTACCATCTGGTGAGTCATCAACATCATCTGCTCCTGACACCCAACCATAGACATCATCATGGCTTGATGATCCAGGATCACCTGAAGCAGATGATCCTCCTTCTAAAGTATCATCAGAAGGTCAACAGTAGCCTAACGCCACGTCACAACACCTATGGCATTCACCCCACTTCATCTCATCATGTAGGCATTGTGCCATATCACATCATCACAAGAAGAAGGGTGAGTACAGCACAATAAGATACTCAGAGAGGGAGACCACACTCACATAACTTTCATTAGAGCATATTGTTATAATTGTTCTATTTTTTTATTGTTGTTGCTAATCTCTTACTGTGTCTAATTTATAAATTAAACCTTATCATAGGTATGTATGCATAGGAAAAAATATAGTATATATAGGATTCAGTGCTACCCATGGTTTCAGGCATCCACTGGTGTTCTTGAGGATAAGGGAAAGTACTGTAAATGCGAAGAGCCCAATCCATGGTAGCCACTATATAAATGAGTTGGTCTTCTTTGCCTAATATAGTTTCCATTCTCTTACCCCTCCACTCTCATTGTAATAGGCATGCTGTTCAACCATAACAACACCCCACTATCATTCCATTGATGCAGTCTATAGAAAGTTCAGCCATGCTCTAGTATTGAGACCTTTGGCACCTGGTTCACAGACTGATTCTCATGGCTAATCCTACTTAAAATCATTCTGCATGACTTCAATAGCTCTCCTATCTTATGGCAACACATTGGCACTTTGTCATCACCTGGATGACAAATAAATGTTCATTCCACCCATGAAATCTTAAAATCAAAATCCAATCTGTGACAGTCTCAAGGACCTCCACTTTCACATACTCTCATTCTCAGCAACATTCATTCTTCAGTTCCACAGAGACTTTTCATTCCCTTATTAACTTCATGTATGTGATCTAACTATTCAGAACAGCACTGCTCTTGAAACCTCCAAGTACAAATTCCTATTTTGGGATCGCAATCACATATCTTTTAAGCCCTCTCATTCCCAGGTACGCCTGCTCTTTGTCTGCAGAAATCTTCTTATTTAAGCCATTTATGTGTTGATTCCTGGCCACCCTTCCTTCACTACCCAACATGGCCCCATGGCTCATCACTTAAACTACATAATCACTAGCCCTGTCAATTTCCTTCAACCTTTCTACTTCCTCATCCGCCAAGTAAAGCTCCAATTCTGGACCAATACTACAAGTACCATCTCTGTTGTTATACTGGGGCGACTGCATGATACTGAAGAAAATCACACAACTACAAAATAGCAACGATACAAATTCATACTCTCCAGCCTCAGCGAAGCCCTCAGCATCATTTATAAGCCCATTTTGTTTGTGTATGTATTTAGTTTTTCCTCCTTTGCGGCACAGCTAATATTCCAAAACCACCATCTTTCTAAAGTCTCATAACTAGATTCTTCTAGCCAAACAGAAAATCCACATCTGCTTTTAAGTCTTCCTTGCCATAGACAAGAAGATGTTTATCTTTGTGAAGGTATAATTGACTTTTAAGATCTCTTTTCACCCAGGTCAGAGCATCGAATTCGAAAAATGAGAGCTTGATTCTGCACGCTATTTACTGTATCATCTCTGCTCTGTGGTAATCTGCATGTCTGTGGTGGCAAATGAAGGCACATGACAGTCATGCTAGAAATTACCACAAAGTACAAAAATGTCTTTGAGAATCTCATATAGCCTACTGACATAAAAAACAAAACCAAAAATATACTTAATGTGTAACTAGATATTAAAATTGGGGACTTTGTTTCCCATTTTTGACCAATATGCCAATATCAGATAAATAGTAGATAGAAAAATATCTGAGACAGATTTCTGTATGCAGAATATTCAAAAAGAATTCTTAAAATTGCTTTTGTGATTTTCATATTCCCTTTACTGGTAGCCTCATCTCATCCATTTCACGGATATAAAAGGTTCAGTGAAGTAGAGGAAGAGAGGGTTTATAAAGACATGGTTTGAAAAAAAGTTGTTACCATGCTGACATCTGCTTCATCCCACCCCTTACCCCACTGCCACGGCTGGTTATGTGTATGGAGACGCTACGTCCTTCAATTTGAGCTAAGTAAGGGCACTTCCATCAGACTACTCAGAGCAGGGATGTGTTCCTTGAAGTTGGGGGACATAGAAGCAGGGTAACTGGCTCATTCCCGAGGAAGCTAAAGTGGCCTCTGCCAGGGGCTCATAGATAGCTGGGTTTCAATGTCTGTACTCCCAGAGCTTTTCAGGGCAAAGACCTGCATGAGTGTTTTCCATGGACTAGAAGTGAGATGATCTGGTGTCCCTATGTCAGTCCTATCCAAGAAGAACACCTGGGAGGGTGGGGGTACTTCACTAGAGAATCCTTGTTGTAATGTGCATGGTCTGGAGCTCTGAGAAGAGTGGGACAAGGTAGAAATGACAAGCTGAAGGAAATGCATGACCCACATCAAGGGACTTACAGGGGAGGCTTGTAAAAGCAAGGAAGGACCTTGCCCTGCCCCCTCTAGCATTGCAACAGCCCGGCTTGAGAAATGAGAGAGACTTTAATTTGAACATTCAGTCTGTGAGTTTAGATTGCTAGTATTGCATGCTAGAGACTACCATTATACTTTCTGGACTGAGATTGTGCCTGCAATAAAAAGAGACTTTAGAGATCTAAAAGTGAGCAGAAAAATCATGGGAACTACCTACATTTTCATCTAGGTGCATGGCAAGATAATCTCCATGGAATAATGTTAAAGAAGCTGCAGAAGACACACAACTGCATTTTGATTATATTCTATGGGTTATGCTTGTTCAACACATGAGTTACAAGTTCAAGATTATAGCAATAGCCAAGTTTATAGTATCTGTCCTAACATATTGATGTAGTATTACAAAATGGTGCAGCATAGCACTTGAAGCAATCACGTAGACTGCCAGCCTGATCATGACTAAATCTTACAAGCATTCAAGAAAGCTGAATTTGAAAAGGTTTATGTCATGATGCATAAAATACAGGAAAGGTGGAAGGGGATTAATTAATTTAGATAAATGGGTTTGCTTCCAGATTTCCTTTACTGTAAATCTGATTGCCAGTTTGCCTCACGCTCTGTGCAGTGGAGACATTGTACTGTTTTTCTTCGTTTTGTAGATAAAGAGGCAATATTACAGCTAGGTTAATGAATTTGGCAAGGTTAAAGAGCTGATTTCTTTAACTTATGCATCTTGATAACCAATAGAATGGTCTTTCAGTGGTGGGGTTCAATGCTTTCATTTATTCAATAACATTTTTTTTTTTTTTTGGCAGTTGGCTGGTATGTGGATCTGAACCCTTGACCTTGGTGTTATCAACACCACTCTCTAACCAACTGAGCTAACCAGACAGCCCCATTCGATAACTATTGAGTGTTCTGTGCCAAGTACAGTGTACTGTTCTAGGCAACAGGGATAGAAATGAGTAAGATACAGTCCTTGACTTCCAGGTATTCATGGTTTGGAAAAGAGAAAGATACACAAGTCAGAAATGGCACACTGAGTATTCTCTCTCTCCCCTTCCTTCTCTCCCTTTAACTCCAAATATTCACACTTTGAGAACTTCCTGGGGGCTGGTGTGAGGAAGAATGGGCCTGATGCATGCAGTCTGCCTTCTCACCAAGGCTCAAGAGCATGTTCATTCACTTATCAGGAGTCTGGTAACTCTTACATACTGCACACATAAACACCGATAAGAGATGTCCTTATGAACGTAACGACAACCACTGTCAATTATCTCGACCTGTTGCATAACATACTGTGCCTATATTTAGTCATAATATATTGGAACGGCCATGCTGGTTATAAAAATATTCAAAATACTTTCATACCAGTTAGCAAATAACTGCTGTTCGAGCTGCCTTAGCCCCTCATCCCAGGACTCCCCAGACATACCCATGATTTGGTAACTAAAAGGTAAAAGGACAAAGCACGGGCCTCATAGACCCTACTCCAGTCTATGGTTGCATCCAGTCTGACTGGTCAGTGCCCATGACATACCAGTTGTTAAATATTTTAAATATCATCCCATTAGTACAAAGAAATGTTAAAATTGGCCAAGCCCACAAGGCTCTCATTTGAACATAAATGAATGGAAACGGGAATAGGGTTCTAACACATTCATGTCTAGGAAGCGGTCTTCCCTTTAAAACACTCATTAACCACTGTTAGAAGTATAAGTGGTTTGCGTTTCAGATGGAACTCAGTAAGATCGCTAGCAATGCAAACCTGTTACTTATGTGAGTTTGGGCAGATTACTGCATCTTTATAAAACTCAGTTCATCTCATCCCTGTTAGACTGGCTATTATCAAGAAGACAGAGGGCCGGCCCCGTGGTGCCCTCGGGAGAGTGCAGTGCTCCTGCCGCGGGTTTGGATCCTATATAGGACTGGCCGGTGCGCTCACTGGCTGAGCGCGGTGCGGATGACACCAAGCCAAGGGTTGGGATCCCCCTTACCGGTCACGAAAAAGCCAAAAAAAAAAAAAAGAAGAAGACAGAGAATAACAAATGCTGGCAAGTATGTGGAAAAAGGGGAACCATTCTACACTGTAGGCAGGACTATAAATTAACACAGCCATTATGGAAAACAATATGGAGGTTTCTCAGACAACTACAGATGAAACTACCCTATGAACCAGTAATCCCACTACTGGGAATACACCCAAAGGAAGAGAAATCATTATTTCAAAAGAATACCTGCACTCCTATGTTTATCACAGCTCTATTTATAATAGCCAAGATACGGAACCAACCTAAATGTCCATTGACAGATGACTGGATAAGGAAAATGTGGTATATATACACAATGGATACGACTCAGCCATAAAAAGAATGAAATTCTGCCATTTGCAGCAACATGGATGAGCTTAGAGAAAATCATGTTAAGTGAAATAAGCCAGGCACAGAAAGAGAAATACCACATGTCCACACCCATAAGCAGGAGCTAAGAAAGAAAGAAAGGAACAAACAAACAACCACAATAAAACATTGAACTTTCAGAAGGAGAGAACAGAACTATGGTTACTAGAGGTGGGAAGGGGGGGTGGTTAGGGAGAAATTGGTTAATGGACACAAAGAATAGTTACATTTTGCAATGATGAATATGCTAATAATCTTGATTTGATCATTACATATTATACCCAAATACTGATAGTCAAAACTGTACCCTACGAATATGTATAATCAATTTTGTTTCAATTAAAAAAAAAACTCAGTTTCAAGAGCTAAGGAATAGCAACTACCTCATAGGCTTATCCTCACCACCATCATCATCAACAGACAGGTAGGTCATCCATGAATAGTTTCACTTATGACGGGGGGTAAAAATAAACAAGAAATAACTATTTACATAGGATTTCTCTCTCTCTCTCTTTTTTTTTAACAGATACATGCTGAAGTATTTGGGGGTAAAGTGTGACAAGGCTACAACTAACTCTCAAATGCTTCAGAAAATAAATGAATGAATGAAAAAAAATAAAAGGGAAATCACTTATACAAAACATACTCTTCTCTGCCAAAGAGTAGTTAGAGAGACAGATAGATAGATACATAGATGGATGATAAAGAGATACTTGCCCATGAGCTATCCCTGATTTGGCTACCAACTAGCTATATGACCACATGCAATTACATAACTGGCTTAGGAATACTCAATACCTCGAAATTGGATCCTGAAGATACCTGTCAGCCTCCATCTACTACTACCCTTCATTTCTAAACCTGTCTGTCATCCAATTATATTATGACCTCTTAGTATCTCAGGGGGAAAAAAAATGCCAGAAATGTGATGGAACACGAAACATGATAGTACATGAAATTTGCTATGTACATCATGACACAAGTCATGATCTTTTTGTTTTGCAATACTGAAAAGAGCATTTCAATAAGGTAGAAAAAAAACCAAAGCCAAACTATGAGTATAAATTAATTCAGAGAGCTCCTACTATCATGTTAGAATTGTTTCCCACCTCATTTTAGTTACACCATGCCTCTGGTTGAAATTGTCAAAAAGCAAAACTATAAAGTACATCTATCGAGAGGACAATAAAAGGAAAGGATTAAGGATAAATTCAGTAAAAGAAAGTGCTTGTCTTAATTCAATTGGTCCGTTATTTCGATACATTCTTTTAAAAATGCACTAAAAGTGGCTACTGGGAATTACAATTTAGCACTTCTGGGTGTGATTCAGTTGCAGTTGTGAAGGCATAGGCACATTAAGACAAAATACAGGTGCCTTCTGCTATGTAAAAGCCTGGGAGACTTCATCTAGTTTATTGTTGAACTCTGAGGGTATAATTTGACAAATTAGTTTTCCCGCTCCCCCAACATCACAACTGAACTCTTAATCAGTAAATAAAAATTTCATATCCCCACATATTCCCATCAGTGTTGTTTTTTATTTTTTTTCCCCTTAGAAGCAACATACCAATGTGGGCTTTTAAGAGACTCCCCCTTTCCTCAGAGTTAACATTAGAAAAGGCTAGCCCTTTCAATAAGTGCACACTCAGTGCCAATATTATTTTCAGTATATTTAATATTAATGCAAGATTTACATTTTGTGGTTCTCATATTTCAAGCTGAGGAGCTTTACATTATACATTTTCCCACAGACTTCAATGAACTTATATACTGTACAATGAATTGTGTTTCACCTTAACCTTTTTCATGTCTTCTAAAATATTCCACTATTTCTAGGTAATATATTAAAGAGATCAAGGGTTTTAAATGATCTATCTATAAATTTCAGTAAGTTTCAAGAAATACTTGAAAAGGGACCAGAGATCTGTTCATTCCTGAATAGTTACAAATACCGTAAATAAAGGTTGTTAATCTGTTAAAATCAAATTCTAAAGAACTTGTTCAAGACAGAGTATGCTATTCCAATGATGTGTTTATACATAAATATATATCACTTTTCAAGAAATACTTTATCTGTAATGTTTTGTCCCATGTGATTATCAATAGCACTATTAAATATAAAATAATCCTAAGGAAGCATAAAGTTTTACTCTTGGAATTGGGTTTAAACAAAATGTGTTTTGACTTTGTATTAAGTTTCTCTTAAATTGAAAGATTTTCTACTTTCTGTATCATGAAACATTTTCACATTTCACTTCCTTTACTTTTTAAACAACTGAAGGTACACCTGTAAAACAGTCATTACTCGGTTTGAATTAGTGATAGCTGAAAGCTATACAAGAAGATGTGGTGGTTTTAATTTTATTCATCACATCTCCACCTCTGGGACCTGGGGAAATGCAGAGAAGTGCACTGCATATTTATAAGGCCTCTGGGACCCTAACAGGCTTCCAAATGCCTTGTTTGTTGCAATCTGCTTGTCAAACTATTAAAGAAGTAAAATCCACATTCTATCCCCTATTGTATATGCAGTCTTTCTCTGTTAATTAAATCAAAACTATATGATTGCAAGGAGAACTGATATAACATCTAGTGTCTCACCAGCTTCTCTAGGCAACCTGAAGACATAATAATTCTAGTACCAGGCTTTCATTTAGAAAATATTTGCACTGACTATCATATTAAACAAATATCATCACCCTAACTGATTATTAAAAAATTTCACTTAAACTTCAGATTTAGCAAGTCTATTATTTAAAATGTTTCCATGCTAGTCTCTAATTATAGCCCCTGCAATGTACAGTCATCCCTTGGTTCCAGGGACCCCTGCAGATACCAATTATATTAGTCTGTTTCTGTTGCTTATAACAAAATACCTGGAACTGGGTGATTTGTAAGAAAAGAAAATTTATTGTTTACAGTTTCAGAGGCTGGGAAGTCTGAAGTCCAAAGTCCAAGGAACACATCTGGCGACGGTCTTCTTTAGAGGTGGCTTTACAGCAATGCAGGGGTCTCACATGGCAGAAAATGGCACAGCAGAAAGAGAGACTCTCACATGCTCTCCTTTTAAAGCCCTCAGAACCACACCCATGAACTAGGGCATGGTCCTTACAATCTAATCACCTCTTCAAGGTCCTGCCTTTCAATTATCGTAATAGGATTTCTACCCTCAACAGTTACAATAGGGATTAAGCTTCAGTGACTTTGGGGGGCTCTTAACTCAGCTGGGGTCTTTGAGGAATACACCTGAGCATCATTATCCTGGCTCAAGACACTCAATGCATTCTATTCACCTGGAACGGGGGGGCCCCTTTCCCCTATTTCTGCCAACTAATATCTTATGCATCCTTCAAGGCCTGGAATTAATGCAACCTCCTCTACGAAGCCTTACCTGATAATCTCTTCCAGAGATGACCTCTCCTCCAGCATTTCTCCTAATACTTGAAATGCACCCAGTTGGCCTTGCAGTGTCATCTTCTTATGTAAAGGATTAAGCTTATCTTCTGAGATGGAGGCTGCTTCAAGGTTGGACTTTATACAATGTGACAGATACTCACTAGAGTGAGTAGGTGCTCAATAGAAATTTTTTGGTTGAATGGATTTTCTTTACTATGTTGAACATACTAAATAAACATTTTACTTGGCTGATAAACATGTTTCTCAATGATGACACTACCCCTAAGGTTTACTGCATAATTTACTCATTTATTCAAATGACTTTGTTTTACTTTCCAAATTTTCTTTTGATGACCTTTATTTCATGCAATATTCACATGATATTTAAATTGAAAGAGGAAATAATATTTAGATCCCCTATGCTACTGTGGGAGCAGACTAAGCATCTGGCGCTAGAAAGCACTATAAAGGTTATCTAGTTCAATTTCTTCATTTTACAGATGAGGAAACACAACCAGAAAGATGAACTGATTTTCAGATAAATGCACAGTGGTTTTTTAATTTTTTTCCAGGATCAGGATTCGAATTCATATCTCCTAGTTCAGTGCTTTAACATCCCACATGTCTCTTTAGCTGTTGAATTTTTTTTCCTAGAAGACTTTTTAATTAATCACATGATAAAATATCTACTAGCAGAAATGGTTCTATATGATCCACAGATTGTGTGATTTGGGCATTTCTTAGTTTATTTCCATCATTTTTTTTTTTTTTTCCAACTTCAACACCTTAAACATCTAGTCACCTAAATTACTCTTCTTCTATGGAATGGAAACAGCACAATTTATATATTTTGGGTACAATTCTTATATAAAGGCTATTTATCATATCCTAGTTAATGTGTTTGCATCCAAGCTATTTAATGTCACTGAGTCATGACTACAGGGATTTCTCATTCATGAGGAGACATTCAAGTGGTAAACTGCAGAGGGGATAACAAGTATATTTCAGCTTGCATAACAACCCAAAACAACTGCTAAAGACTGCCTTGAATGCTCTCTGGAGAATGATTCTGAGGTCATTTCTGATAGTGGAAAGAATGCTGAGCTAAAAAGCCTAGAAATCTGGATTGTTTTCCTGGTTCTACTTGGCAAAGGAACCTCATATGGGGTATTCCATCTCTTAGAAGTGAAAAACTGGATAAGTTTAGAATTTTGTGGCTAATCAATAGGTGTCTGGCTTAGTTATGGAAGGAACTCACTGTAGTGAGTTAGCAAGGTAGGGCCTTACTATGCCTCCAACTTTCCCACCACATATAGCATTAGGACGAAAGACAAAAGAAAAAGAAAAAAGTATACAATACGTTTAAAACTTAGGCTGAAAAGATGATGGAAGAAAAAGGTTGCCTTTTATATACTGACATGATTCCACTGATCCACTGCCAACAAGATATGTGGCTTTCAGTTATGCATCTTGTACCCCAAATAGGTAGTAATTATCCAGAGTCTTCCTAGTTCTTAAAAATGAGTTCCTGATGAGCTAATAAACTCAAAGATGCATGTTCAATATCTGTTTAGTTCATGTTGTTTAAACACGGGAAAAACGAAATTGTTTCTGGTCTCTCTCTCTACACACACACACACACACACACACACACACACACACCATTAGTTTTATTTGCTGTTAACATTTCAATGTTTTGTTTGGTTTAAGTCATTAGAAGAAAGCTAATGATGACCACTTCTACTTCTGGCTGGCCATGATGTAAAGACCAAGAGTAAATATATGAAATTATTGGCATAGCAGATAGTTTCCTAAGGCTCAAGTATTCATTAAAATGACCAATGTCAAATTATATGTGAAACTGGGTTCCACCTCAGTGGAAAATTAAAATAACTATTATCCTAGCCCCCAGGTGGCCCAATTAGTCAAATAGACTTCTGGAGCCATTTTAAATCTAAAATTTCTCCCTTAAACCTAAGCTTACTGAGAAATATCTGAATATCACTAAGTAGCATACCATTTAGCTGATGGTAAATGTTTGCAAACCTATTTTACACACACACAATCATGCAATCTTTTATATCATTATTGGAAGCGCCATAGAAAGGTCTGGGTTCAAACCCAGCTTTACCACTTAATGGATATAAGACCCTGAGAATTTTCATAATGTCTCTGAACCTATAAAATGAGATAGGGTTGAAGAAAACCATAATGTATTTAATGTTCCTAAATAAAGAGACTGGCTAGTAGTTTGCATTCAATAACTGTTAACTTCTTTACAAGCTCTGCCATTCAGATATAACTAAAATATATTGAAAGAGCCCTACCACAAACAAAAGCTGTTGCTTCTTGTAGCCATTATACTGTTGGCAAGGATATTTATTTATTTTGCTTATTTGTTTTCTATATTCCATGAATGCAGTGTATACCACGTTATATTTGCTAGACTAGGAGACTACATGTGGCTAATGGAACTCCTGTTATATTCCCATATCTTATAAATTCTCTGATCCATTTGAATTATTTTCCTGTCTTTATTGGTATTTTCTACACCTATTAATTTATTACCCATGAATTTAATTAAAGTGTTTACTGGTACTCCTTACATATCATTAATGAAATGTTAATTAATTACAGGCCTAGCACTATCAAAATCTCTAACATAATGAAAGAACCTCTCCCATCCCATTATGTTTTACTTATCATCCTAGAGTCATTTCACACAGGTCCTGTCTAATAAAATTATCAACTTATTCTTAAAATGATTTTTTAAAAAGTTATGCTACAGTAAAGTTTTCTATCATCTAATTATAAGTAACACAAATTCATAATGTTAAAGTTATGCCAAATAAGACAGCAGAAAGGATAATAATTTGCTCACCAATAGGCACTTGAAGTTTTTAACATGGGCATGTGTCAGTTTATTATTTATGGTACCCTCCCCCATTCACACAAGTTTTCATAGACTGCAGAATGGAAATACATATATTTCTATAGACATATAAAAATAAAGTATGAATATATATATGAGGGTACCTCAAAAAGTTTATGGAAAGATTTGTATTATCTTTCAATTCTATTTTTTCCATGAACTTTTTGAAGTACCCTCATATATGCATGCCATCCTCCTGAAAAAGCATGGCAAGTCATAATGTATTGGGGTTAAAATCTGATCTGAACTTGACTGCTTCACTGTGTGATGCTCTATACAAAGGCCAATTGAATGGTCAGGGTACAGATTCAATGTTTTTGCTGCATTCTCCAATATGACAACAACATTAGCCAGAACAACTGGCACCAAAGAATCACCCCATGACGGTAACCTAGAAAATGCCTCTCTACTGGGCTCACATAGTGACAGAGCTTCTCAAATGACAACAGTGAATCTTCTCAAACAGTTGAGGACTGATCAATACTATGAAGCCCTACACTTCTGGCTGTTGAATTAACTTGCTTTCTTTAAAACATTTTACTCAGACATTTTTTCTGGGGAAATTTGCTTCTCTAGTTCTCTTAACTTGGCACACAAAATTTTAAAGTAATTCAAATAGCAAGGTAAAACTGTCTTCCTTATTGTTATGACCACATGTGAACATCATAAGAACAATTATCTGAAGCACAGCATTAATAAATACTACATTTCGCTCACTCACTCATTCAAAAATATTGTTCATTTACTCTGAAGTTGTTGGGTTTTTTTTTTTTTTTTTTTGGCAGCTGGCTGGTACAGGGATCTAACCCTGGACCTTGATGTTATCAGCACCACGCTCTAACCAACTGACAAGCTGGAGAGTCTTTGTTCATTTACTCTGCATAAGGCCTATAGCTAGGTGCTATAGGAAATATGAGGCTGCATTAGCTTTCTCTGTCCACAGGTTTGTAATCCTGTGAAGTAATTAAGGCATGTCTACAGGTGTACCTAGAAAGCCACTGCTTATTTAAAACTTGACTTAAATAAGTGCAAACAATAGTTCTATTCATCAGTTTGAATCTTAAATGAAAATTGCAACATCTTGGGTAGCGATGGATTAGCTTAGTGCAAAGCACATACTTTATATATAAGAGTCTACTGTTATTCATTCTCTCTCACTTTGCACACAGTAGGCACTCCATAAGTAAATGCTCAATGAAATAGTGTAATTCACCACTTATTCTCAAATGCCACTTTCTTTTTATATCTTGGTGCCCAACAAAACAGGAAAGACAATGCAGAATTCGAGCAGGAGGCATGGGAGACGTTTTCCAATACTTTTACAGTTATCACATGGAAGAAGATTTAGTCTGTGTGGTGTCAGAAAGCAGACACAAGATCAATGGGTGGAAGTTACAAGAAAGGCAGATTTGGGCTCAAATTCAGAACTCTCTAGTAATTACAGCTGTCCGAAAATGTAGCTGGCTGTTTCCAGAGCTAGTTAGGTCCTTGTCGATTCTATAGGTACTCAGAAATCAAAATGACCACCTGTCAGGATGTCAGAGCAGGGATTCTAGCACTGGATTTAAGCAAAGGTGTCAACTTCTCTGTCGATGGTGAAGGAAAAGCAGTATAACATCCTGGTAAAGGGCGCCACCTCTACAGCCCAACTTCTTGGGTTCAAACTCCATCTCTGACACTCAGAGCTTGGGCAAATTAGCCCCTCTGTACCACAATTTGTATGTGTGTGTGGGGCTGCTCTCCAACTTATTTATTTTTTTGGTGGGCTGGTACAGGGATCCGAACCCATGACCTTGCGGTTATAAGGCTGCCCTCTAACCAACTGAGCCATCATGTAAAATGAGGTTAATGGTATCTTCATTGTGTGGACATTAATAGGATTAAATGATTTACTATTGTAAAACATTTAGAACAGTGCCTGGCATATAGTAAATACTACACAAATGCCTGTTAAATAAATGACATTGATGATAAGATAGTGTCTTAATATCTACAAAGTGTTTTTGAGGAATTTCCCACACATTATGTTGTTTTATCCTAACTTTTCCCCTTTTCCCCAATTCCCTGGTCAGAGTCCATTGCTTCCTTTTCCTATCAGCTATGACACTTTTGCATACCTCACTTGTGCCACTAATGCCTTTGAAAATGTTACAATTGTTTGTGTGCTGGGCTTTTTCCCCCACAACACTGTGAACTCCTTAAA